AACATCATCGACAGCTTTTCTTCAGGGGTTTTACTACAAAGCACTTTCTCCACATATGCAGCTTTACACAGAGTAACTACATTTAATTTTTTTTAATTTTCAGATTTATTGAGTTTTGCAGCTGCAAACTAATTATTTTCTTGAACAGACATCAGACACCTTGGGTAATGGCATCCCTTATTAGAAGTAGAGTTCTCCAGGCCTGATTGCCAGTCAGCAGCTTTTCTCTGTAATGCTGAATATTTCAGCTGCGAATCGTATAGCGTGGCCCTCTGGAGGCCAGTAATAAGAGCAGCGGTAGCAAAACCAAGAGCACTAGCTCAGCACGTAACTGACAGAAACGTTCAAAATTACTTTGAAAAATGGTACGTTATTCTCGAATCAATCACTGGCTCAGAAAATGAGCCACTGGGCAGCAGTGATTAGACCCTTCATTTAAGTCGACGCAAAAAAACGCCCTATTCACTTTCTTCGTACATGTTCCTGGGCTTACTGTGCACGATTTATCAATGCAGGTTATTCGAAAAAATTCTAAAATTTAATAACTTTATTTAATAACTTTACATGCCAAGTAAAATAGATTACAAAGATCCTACTATGACCCTACTATGAACTTTTCTCCATCATTTAAAGGGGTCATATGATGCGATTTCAATTTTTCCTTTCTCTTTGGAGTGCTACAAGCTCTTGGTGCATAAAGAAGATCTGTAAAGTTGCAAAGACTAAAGTCTCAAATCCAAAGAGATATTCTTTATAAAAGTTAAGAGTCAACCACGCCTACCTAAAACGGCTCGTTCTAACACGCCCCCACATATCTACATCACGATGTGGGAAGATTTGCATAACGCCGCCCAAATGTTCACGCAAAGAAAGAAGGCGTAACTTTTATTCTCACTGTAGTGTTGTTGCTGCCGCCATGTCGTGAAGGCGCTGTGTGTTTCGTTGTGAAAGCGAAACTACTTTGTTTGGTCTTCCAAAAGAGGACGATATCTGCTTCGTCATGCCTAGCGCTGATCCGTGCTGGTCGCTGAGGAAATACATCAACTTCGCGCTGTGGGTCGCCGGACCGGCTTTCACCGTGGACGAAGCGGAGTCCAGCCTCCGCTCACTCGAGCCCGCCGTGTGTGACGCTGTGTTTCGTTGTGAAAGCGAAACTACTTTGTTTGGCCTTCCAAAAGAAGACACGACTAGAAATCAGTGGTTAAGTTGTATTTACAACACTGTTCCAGAACACTTCAAACCAAATATTCAGATGTGAATATATGGGTTTTAATGTTTTTGTCTCATCGCGCCGGGACAAGGCATCACAGTATGGTAAGGGGCGTAACATTTCCGTCACACGCTTGAGGTATTCGGCCAATCACAACGCACTGGATAGCTGGCCAATCAGAGCACACCTCGGTTTTCAGAACGATGAGCTTTGTAAAAATCGATGCGTTTCAGAAAGGCGGGGCATAGAGGAGAAACAATAATGTACAGTATGTGGAAAATAATGTGTTTTTTAACCTTAAACCGCATAAACACATTTCATTACACCAAATACACAAAATAATGTTCTTTTTAGCAACATTATATGACCCCTTTAATACATATTTGGTTCATTTTACACCACAGCTGCAATTTAGACCATGGAATATAAGTTTACCCCTCTTAGAAAGAGAAATCTGAGACTAAATGCTTCCTGTATCAAGTTAAATGTTGGGAGGGCATGAAATTGAGGTTCAGGTGAGGTTAGACCAATGTTGACATGCTCTTTGATTAATACATGAAATATATGAAAAGTCTCATTCCCGATACTGAAAATTAAATAATATATACCAGCATAGATTGGAATTTCTGGACTTATCAGCAGTTCCCATTTTCCGTAACACACTAGGCAGACTCCCGAGCTCAGACAACTTGATTTATTCTGAAGATACACCTCCATGTATGTGGCAGTAAAAGAAATTGAATCATTATGCTAGACCTTGATTCGGCTGATATGAAATGAAATAAAACCTGCTCATGCTTGCCAAAAATCTTGATTTGGAGTCAGCTAAAAGGGGGTTGGATGTAAATGTTCAAAAAGAATAGAGCTTGTTTGCGTCAAACGCTTTCTGTGCATCAAATCAATAGTGAATAAATATTGGCGTTGGATTTTTCATTTGGCTTCATCCTTCACCTCCAGGCCATTTTGAAAGATGCATTTGTGTCTTTTCCCAAGGCTAGCTCAACAGTGAACACGACCGATTCTGTATATTTGACATGCATTTATAGCCCATCCTCTCTTGTGGCAGGGTCAACTTTGCAATCATACATAAATATGTACTGATGACATCTTTAAACAAATACTATTGATTAACTATCATTTAAAATGGAATACATTAACAGATTTTTGGAAAAGTTTGAAGAGAAGAGAATGGTTATGAAAATAAACATATACTAGAAACTATATTTCCTGTCATTACCACTACCACTAAAACAATGTGTGTGTATTGTACCAATATCTTGACTTCATTTTGTTGTTGTTTTATTTTTGCGCATAAACCGTCACCTGAGAGCTAGGCAATAAAGTACAAACTTTGTGCTTAATTAAAATGGGACTGAAAGCACAATGGAGATCTCCTCCACTCCTTGCTTACACCAGACCTGTGTATGAACGCTGCAATTAATGAATCCCTCGCATGAGGATGAATGGATATTAACAGCAGAGAAAAGCCTCACCTCCTGACAGCATCTCGTTTCTGCTCATCGATGCTGTCCCACCATTTTGAAAAATACGAGATCTCAGACCAGATAATTTTTCGCCGACTGTCTTCGTGTAATTTCACCACCATGTTGTTGAGAATGTGTTGCGTCTGGTCTCGATAGTAGTCATCGAATGTCTTCAGCCAGCCTGAACAGAACAACACACAAACGTGTCACAGAGGTTGCTGAGATCATGTCACAAACCTACTACAAACTTCGGCTTGAAGTTTTAAATGGTTTTACCTCAAAAATGAAAATTCTGTCATAATTTATTCACTCTCATTTTATTCCAAACCATTCATTCTTCTGTGGGACACAAAAGGATATGGTTTAACAGAATGCCCAAGCTATTTAAAGGGGGTCACCGTTTACTTTCAATGTACCAAAAAGAGCAGCTTGGATATTCTGCTAAATATATCATTTTATGTTAAATGCAAGAAATTAGTAGTGTATTACGCCTTTAAAGGGGTATCAGAATTATGGTATCAGAATATTTTTGGACATGTTATACAAATGGGATCAAAATGATTCAACCCCCCAGAGACAATAACAATTTACAAATGTCAGCTTTTCTGAAGATCTGAAGACTTTTTATAGCATCTATAACAGTTTAATGGCATACTGTCAATATATAATGTAATATTTTTGAGTTATATGATCTTTAAGGTTTGGTACAAAATTGTGTTAAAACACAATTAAGCCTTTTGGAAACTCTACAACAAAACTTAACACTGCAACAAATACAAAAGTTCAGCCCATGTATGCGCTAAAATTGAATAGACAAAAATGGCCAAGTGACAAGAGCTCTCACAAAAGCTATAGAGAAGATTTTTTATTATTACGTTAAAACGTCTATGGCTACAAAAAGACTTTCCAAGAACTAAAAGTTCCTAGAGACACAGCTGGCAGCCTTATTCCTTGGCTTAAAATGTGCTGTACCAGAAAACCTTAGAGGGCATTAAAGACAAAGCACAATATCATAAAATGTTTGATGAGAGCAACCCCCAACCCCTTATTGCCAAAGACTTGCAAGATGACCTGATGAAAAGAGGAAAAAACATTTCAATACAGAGTATAAGAAAAAGAACCCGATACAAGCATGGTCTTCATGTCAGGACACCTTACTGAACACCAACCAAGATAAATGGTTCAAATAAATTTGGAGAGACCTGTGGAGTTCTGGAAGAATGTTTTATGGAGTGATGTGTCCAAACGTTTTGGACCCATGGATCAGTGGTATGTCTGGTGCAAAAAAGTTTTTGTTTTTTTTCCATGTTTGACCATAAGGTTGGATAAGTCTTGTTATGGGGGTGTTTCGCTACTGCAGGAAGTGGAAATCTTGATTGTATGAATGACATCAAGGATTCTTTTAAATATCAGGCTAGGAAAACTATGTTTTAAGGAACAATTTTCACTATTAACTAGTTGCTTATTACTTACTAACTTATTGGCTGTTTATTAGTACTTATAAAGCACATATTAATGCCTTATTCTGCATGACCATATTCTAGATCACTTAACCTGACCCAATACCTAAACTTAACAACTACCTTACTATTAATAAGCAGCAAATTAGAAGTTTATTGAGGGAAAACTAACCTAAAGTGTTACCATCAGGCCATTTTGGCAAAGATAGTAATGCCTTTGATGCATAGACTGAAGCTAATGATCATTGGACTTTCTAGCAGTGCAACCATCCAAAAGTATACATCCATGCTTGGTTTAGGGATCGGTCGTAGAATGTTTTTGAGCAGCCTGTTCAGTCTTCAGATTTAAATCTCATTAAAAATATGTGTAAGCATTTAGAGCAGTGGCGAAGCATTGGCCCACCCACGTTCAACTGTGGCCCACCCAATGAGAAGTTGGTAATTTTCCAAATGGATGTAATTAATTAAACGATAATAATAATAAACGTCACTCTAACTGTCACTCTAACTCTATATATTTTGTTAAAAAAATATTAAACGCGAGTTGTCATGGTCAATTATAGGCAGTTTCTTATTTTTCCCTCTTCCTATAGGTCTAAACCATACGCTTCTCAAAATGATGATTCATCTTCTGTTAGTCCCACCCACAATGCTATGTTTACGACGTAAGGACATAGTAGTAAAATGTGCGCGTTTGTGGAGTTGAATTTGAAAATAGTGAAACAAATATCAAACAGTCAATTCTTTAAAAAGTTTTGGATATCCCAGTTGAAACTAAGACTTTGCAATGAATCCGGACCGTCGACAAATGAAACCAGACCACCTGCGGGTGATGTATGTATATATATATATATATATATATCAAAAACTTCTGAGCCAAGCTTGTTTTGTAAGCATCATATTAACATACGTAGGTACAGTGTTTGATTCACTAAATAGATGCATCCATGCATAACTACAATACATTTGTTACAATATTTATAAATCTTTTTTAACATTAGTTAATAAAAATACAACTGTTCATTATTGTTATGTTAGCTCAAGTATGAATGTTAACAGATACAACTTTTAATTTTAATCATTAGTAAATGTTGAAATTAACATAAATGTTAATCAGTGCTTTAGAAGTATTGTGTATTGAACCTTTGTGCTGTATTTTCTGTTGCCAATTTGACATGCAGTTTTCATACGCTACATGTTGCCCACCCACTTAAACATTTCTGGCCTCGCCCCTGATTTATAGACAACATTTATTGGCGGTAATAAAGAACAAGGATTCTCTACAAAATGTAACTTTTGGGGGTTGGATAAATCTGTACATGAATGAGAGCCAATTTGTTTACTGATGCCTTGGTTAAATTGTTTTCATCAAATGTTGTTCACGGCAACAGAATGTCTTGCAGATCAACGGGGGTTGAATAATTTTGATTGCAACTTTAATTTATTCTTTGAGGTAACATAAAAATGAATATATGAATATGGTACTCATTCATTGATATATCTCATGGTGTAACCAAACATTACTGTTCAAAACTTTGTTTATGTTTACTAAGGTTTCATTTATTTAATCAAATATATTCTAAAAAGCAGTAACACTAGCCAATTTGTTTACTGATGCCTTGGTTTAATTGTTTTCATCAAATGTTGTTCACGGCAACAGAATGTCTTGCAGTCTTGCAATAATTTTGATTGCAACTGTAATTTATTCTTTGAGGTAACATAAAAATGAATATATGAATATGGTACTCATTCATTGATATATCTCATGGTGTAACCAAACATTACTGTTCAAAACTTTGTTTATGTTTACCAAGGTTTCATTTATTTAATCAAATATATTCTAAAAAGCAGTAACACTGTGAAATATTATTAAATTGTTTTCATCAAATGTTGTTCACGGCAACAGAATGTCTTGCAGATCAACGGGGGTTGAATAATTTTGATTGCAACTTTAATTTATTCTTTGAGGTAACATAAAAATGAATATATGAATATGGTACTCATTCATTGATATATCTCATGGTGTAACCAAACATTACTGTTCAAAACTTTGTTTATGTTTACTAAGGTTTCATTTATTTAATCAAATATATTCTAAAAAGCAGTAACACTGTGAAATATTATTATAATATTGTTTTAATTTATTCTAAAGTGTAATGTATTCCTGTGATGTAAAGCTGAATTTTCAGCAGTCATTACTCAAGTCTTCAGTGTCACACTATCCTTCAGAAATCATTCTAATATGCTGATTTGGTGTATAAGAAATATTTCTTAGTTGTGCTGCTGTATATTTTTGTGGAAACGTAATACAGTTTTTAAACAGAAAGATCAAAAGAACAACTTTTTTTGCACAAAAACTCATCTCTCCCCATCTGAACATGGTAAATTGAAAGATAAAAAAATGCAGGCATAGACAATAAAAGGTCATATACAATAAAAGGGGTGTCTCCATATTAAGACATAATTCTCTTAATTTTGAACTGTGGAAAGAGCTATCAGTAAAAGGCGGCAATATATTTTGGTTCAGGGGTTAAATCATCATCTCTAAATTCGTTTTTTTTAAATACAAACTTTGATCTTAAAGGGGTCATATGATGCGATTTCAAGTTTTCCTTTCTCTTTGGAGTGTTACAAGCTGATTGTGCATAGATAAGATCCCTGAAGTTGCAAAGACTAAAGTCTCAAAACCAAAGAGAATGTGGAAACGTAATACAGTTTTTAAACAGAAAGATCAAAAGAACAACTTTTTTTTGCACAAAAACTCATCTCTCCCCATCTGAACATGGTAAATTGAAAGTAGGGATGCACCGATATGAACATTTTGGCCGATACCGATAGAGTCAAAAGGAATAATAATATGTGGAGACTTCATTATTGTCCTTAAACAACTATTAGATTCATCCAATAGTAAAATAATTAAGCCAAAACTATGAAAAAGGTTTAGACATAGAAGGCAAAAAACTTCATTTTAAAAATCTTGAAGACAATCAGCAACAGCATCTAACAGAACAACATACAATTAGTCAGGATGCTCAGATTCTGAAGCAAATTAAAGATATTAAAAATAAGATGGATGGGATATATGAGGAGGAGAAGATTAAAGAGGCATTTGAATTGTATTATAAATCTCTACATTCTCAACAGACACAGGTGAATTGTGCATCCATTAAAACCTTTTTTAGATTCTCTTGACATTCCTTCTATTGGACAGAAACAAAATAATCTCTTAAAATAAATGACACAAGAAGAATTTAATAGAGCTTTAAATAATCTGAAGAATAGCAAACACCTCCTCACCCCTTCTTATCACATCATTTAGTTGAACTCTAAAAGAGGCAGTTATTTCTTCTCTTGGAGAGAAACAATCATCTCAGTTATACCTAAAAAGGAGAGTGTAGTTCATTTAGACCCATATCAGTTTTGAATGTAGACTACAAATTGTTTGCCTCTATTTTAGCAAAAAGACATTTCTACAGATTTAATAGAGTTCGAATAGAATTTATTAGAGGATGACAGACTCAGGATAATATTAGACAAATGCTTCACTTAATTCAATAAACTAAAAATTATCACAACAAAGCAACTTCAGTAAGTCTGGATACAGAAAAGTAATTTGATTGTGTGAATATTATTTCAGAAGCTTTTGGTCTCTGTATTTTAATGCAGAGGCTACAATTAAAATAAATGTTTGCCTTACAAAAAATATACAATTAGAAAGGAAAACACGACAGGGGTGTCATCTCTCATCCCTATTGTTTGCAATTTATATTGAACCTCTTGCCCAGGCAATCAGAGAAGACATGATTAATAAGGCACAACATAAACTTGCATACGCTGATGATTTATATTCTCAGGATATAAATTAAACATACAGAGAACTAAAATGTTGTAATTTGGTTTCAACCCAACAAAAGAACTTAAGCATAAGAATTAATGGGAAACGAAATTCACTTAAATATCTGGGAGTACGGCTACAACAAGATCTACCAAATTTGTTTCAAAAGAACTATAATATAATCAGTCACAAAAAAATTAAAGATCTTAAACACTGGTCCTCCCGGATTGGATTTTAGCTCACAAATTGAAAGCATAAATGCTCTTTCGAGATTGTAATGTCTTTTACAATCATTCCCCATGGACATGAATGGGATAAACACATTTCTAGATTCATCTGGAAAGGAGGAAAGCCAAGAATTTGACTTCTTATCACCTTAAGCCACTAACTCAACGTACTTTGAAAATGTGGCTTACAGCGGTAAACAAACTTCATTTGGAGACGCAAATTCAGATTTTGAATTAGTGGCACACATTCCAAATAATGAGGTTATTTAGGAATTTCCTCCATTTGCTCAATTATTAAGAATGGCGATATTGAAAGCTTCCAAACTTCCAAAGACAAGTGTGGCCTTGTAAACCAAGATCTATTTAAATACTTGAAAGAGATAAATGACAGTGCTCAGATTAATCAAATCACACAGATTATTATACAGGGACAAAAGACAGTTACAAATAGGGCAGCATCCGATTATATAAAAGGGTAAATAATTCTAGGAGACATTAAGCAAGCATAATATATTAGATCAAAATGAGAAAAAGTAAGGCTGCGACCCGGAAATGGTACAAAGAGGATACATCTACGAGAGAAGAGTGGTTTCAAATAGTAACAGATGTCAAAGAAATGGAAAGACTCACATATATACTCTGACTGCACAAACAAATCTTTGAGAACAAATGGAGAAAGCCTTCTCCTCTGTTGAACAGATGAATGTATTTGAAGGCTTACATGAGTGTATAATGATGTATGTACAGTACAGTTAAACCGACTGATCTAGTACACAAAATGTATGGCCACTTTTATTGTTATTTTTGTTACGTTTTTCTTTTTCTACAAGTTTCTCTTCTCTTTCTCTACCAAAAAAACCCAATAAATATTCATTTTTTAAAAAGTGTGCAAATCAAAGTAACCTAGCATTACCACAAGATACAATTCCAGTACCATAGTACCGCCTTTTAGTAGGAAGAATGTGGCATGTCTGGTTTTCCAGGAAGCAGAAAGAACTGTGTTATGCTTTAACTATCTGCATACATGACCATAAGGGGTTTACATTCATCAAACACACCAGTTCTTCACCTGTGATGATTGGTATAGTATCTCACCTCTGGTGTAAATATAAAATTACACTCTGTACACATGATATACAACATATAGTATAACTAACTGCACCTTTTTACAGAAGTATTAGCTGGTGTCACCTCATCGTTTCTCAATTTTAGAAGCTCGGGTTGACTTGCAATACAAGTTTCAAGTTTCAAATGAGCCTGACAAATATTTAAAAGTGAAGAGTGTAATTTATGTGCCACAATTAGTACCAAAGGAAATTGAAAACAAAAAGAGGTTTTGCAAACACTCCCACAGTCTTCTACTATACACACATAAGCAGTCAACAATCTTACACCCTGCAAACAGACACTCCCACTTTCTTAATAATTACAGATATTTGAATCCCACACGAAATGCTCATGAACATGAAACGACAGTCACCTTATATTAATAATTGCAACTCAAACACTGAGAAAACTAAGCCTAATAACTATAAAAATTTAATGACAGCTGTCTAAACACATTAAACTGGTACGGGAGAATTCTATCATCAAAAAAATGATAACTGTGACACCATAAGCAATAGACCATAACTCACAGTTGCTACATACCCTGTACTATAAAACAACACATAATGACATTTAACAGAAAAAAATAACAACCTTCCAAGAACCAGTTTTCCGACTAGAAGTCATTGGTGGTTTATCCTGAGGGGACTAACTTGCTGCTCGCTAACTAAACACTAATAAACACAGTACATTACGTTATATGATAAATGTGAATTGAAAGTTAATTTTGAATTAAATCTAGGTCTGTTCATGCACACTTTTCGTTTACCTTTCTAAATCAACATTCAGACAAAAACGGCAATGAAAAAAAGTAAAAAGAGAGAGAAATGTTGACACAAAACAGGACAGATCAGGTTACCGCACACACCAATGATGAAGTCGAACAACAAACGGCTTGAGCTAGCGAGTCGATTTACCTGTGTGTATGTGTGAACAGTGTGTGTTAATTCACCTGGTAATGTTTGCTTAAAGGGGTAACATGATATGATATGATTTCAAGTTTTCCTTTCTCTTTGGAGTGTTACAAGCTCTTGGTGCATAAAGAAAATCTGTAAAGTTGCAAAGACTAAAGTCTCAAATCCAAAGAGATATTCTTCATAAAAGTTAAGAGCCCACCCCGCCTACCTAAAACGGCTCGTTCTAACACGCCCCCACATGTCTATGTCACTATGTGGCAATATTAGCATAATGCCACCCAAATGTGCACGCAAAGAAAGAAGGTGTGGTTGCAGTAACCGCAGTTAGTGTTGTATCTTTAAACTTGGTTGTCATGGTGACCATCTCACAATAAGCACAAGGATACCAGAAAGGGACCTGATGTAACTATGACCCCGTTTACACCTGGTATTAATATCTGTCTCAGGTGATATGATCACAAGCGGTCAAACAGGGTCTAAAATGTCATGAAACCAGAGACCCTTCACTCAAAATCTGATCCAAGTGGTCAAAAGAGATTTGAGAGACTACCAGGTGTCAATAGCAATCTGTCTTGTTGTGATCAGATCACCTGAGACGAATCTTAATTCCAAGTGTAAATCAAAGACAAAGCATAAATATCATTAGAATTTACGCTCTTGTAATTAAAAAGATGTTAATCACAGACTAAAAGAATTAACAGAATATATAGATATAAAATCAAGATCCTACAATTACAAGCAAGAGAAAATCAGGTAATACTTGTACTAATAAACCAATTTTAAAGACTGAGAAAGAACATTATTATTATTATTATTATTGATTGTATTTAAATTATAAAATATTTAACACACACACACACACACACACATATGTATATCAAATATTGACAGGGCAGGTACTGTATAAATCTGGATCATTGGGCTGACTGGGCAAGCAAAAGAAATATCATTGTTGAGCCCTGACAATAATCAATTTGTCCACCTAATATTAACATTTCTTTTTTTGTACCTGTACTCCATCTGCTGCCTTGGAGTACGTCTGTGCTGCAAACTGGCAGTCCTCTGAGTGGATGGGGAGCAGCGCAGGAGCAGGGGGCAGCAATTCCACGTTCCCCTGACTCATGTTCCCTTCAGGAAACATTTTCCCATCTTTCACAGTTTCCCTCAGGTTAATTACAGAGTCCCTGATGTTGGCAATGATCTCATTGTTCTCTGCAAGTAGTCTTTCTAAGTGGTCTATTTTGTCCTGCAGAATACCAAGCTGGCCCTGTAGACGAGAGAAAAACAGTGAGTAACACTTTTAACACTGCCTCGGACAAGATCACGCAGCACAAAATTCCGACAATGACATAACTGAATGCATTACTACATAACTAAGCGTAATTGAACATAGTGCATCTCAGACCTTTTTACATAACTTTAAAGTAATTTAATGCAGCATCTGGCCAGCAACTTTTCAAGATCAGGCACACGTCTGTGAAAAAGGGAGAGACTAAAATGCACAACATTTGATTCGAATTCTCCCACTTTTCACCGTGGCTCTCAAATGTCATTCAAACGAGCACTGAAACCATATTTTTCATGTGTTTTATATACTGTACCCACTTAAATTAATTAAACTCTGACATAGTTTGAGATAAAGCTATCAAACCAACTGTAAAATATTAAGAATATTATTCCCTATAATGCACAAGGCTTGTTTTTTTCAGATTATGCCTTTACTGTTTTTATATACAGTACTGAATCCATATTTGTCATGTTTTATATACTGTACCCACTTAAATTAATTAAACTCTCACACAGTTTGAGATAAAGCTATCAAACAAACTGTATAATATTCAGAATATTATTCCCTATAATGCACAAGGCTTGTTTTTTTCAGATTATGCCTTTACTGTTTTTATATACAGTACTGAATCCATATTTTTATATGTTTTATATACTGTACCCACTTAAATTAATTAAACTCTGACACAGTTTGAGATAAAGCTATCAAACCAACTGTAAAATATTAAGAATATTATTTCCTATAATGCACAAGGCTTGTTTTGTTTTCAGATTATGCCTTTACTGTTTTTATATACAGTACTGAATCCATATTTTTATATGTTTTATATACTGTACCCACTTAAATTAATTAAACTCTGACACAGTTT